AAAAAACTCCTATATCTTTAAAATCATAGTATCTGCCTCTATGTTTCAGAAAACAAAAACGTTTTGAAAAGTAAAATCAATGAGGTGATTTGTTAAGATTCTTCTCCAAATTATGCTTATATCATGAAGCTTTTCAATGATCTTTTGTTCTAATTCTTCAATTTACTTGTTTATTAATTCCCCTCTATTTTCTTTCCTCAAATTCTTCTACTTCTCTCACTTCTATTTTCTTCTCTTCAGTTCCTTTAATTCTCTTAGTTAATGTTTGTTATTTTCTTAAACTCCAATTCTTTAGTGTCTCCTTCTATCTCTTCTAATTTGTTGTTTTCTTCTTTAGCTTCAATTTTCTACTGCTACTACTTAATTTGGTTACCTTCTTTGACAGATTCTTAAATTTCGGCTGTGAGATATTTTTTTGTTTCAAGATGTTTTCTGTAAAAGGTCATGGATCTACATGTTTAAAATTTCTCATGTTCTCTGGCTTTAAGATATTTTACCTTCAAGATGGAGAATTATGGATTTCCCTTGGAGATTTATTTGCAAACTTGCATTGGTAAAGCCACCTTGAGTTTGAGGGGGGATGTTAAGGACATTGAGATATATTAGGAGATATACATTAATAGTTATTAACTCAGTTATGGCAATAGGTCTTAGAATTATTATGGTTGATTGATTTAGAATTTATAGTTTTCCTAGTCAACAGGTTACTTAATGCCTATATAAAGGCTACCTATGAACTCATGATCATGTCTCTGAATAATAGGAGTTATGCCTTTCTTTTAGCTTTCCCTACTCATATTTACATACTTAAATTTCTTCTATAAGCAACATGATGTGCTTATTCTCTTCAAGAGACTATCTGGCAATTATCCATCGTCAACCTCCTAAATGTCAATGACAACATCAAGGTCTCTTGTCTGATGCTATCAATTACCTTCATAATTTGGGTCCATAAAACTACCCAAATATGGCCTTCATCATCTTCAATTTCCCAAACCTCAATAACCCAATTCACTAGAACCATTCATTCATGCCAACAACCTAAATAGTTCAGTGGTCATCTTCTTCTGCTGGAAGTAAGAGGTCCTAAGTTCGAGTCGTATGACATGCGAGAGGTGAGATAAAAGATGAGAGATGATTACCTCCTCTTATGCAACCAAGATAAAAAAAGAAAAAAAAAAAAGAACCATTCATTTATTGATTCTTTTGGCGAGACCATTATTCTTTAGATCGTAACCTAAAAGCATTGCAAGTGTTAAGATTGAGAGAGAGACTAAAGGAAGGAAAATGATAGTACACATTCGAGTTGAACGCACTCTCCAACACCCATCGGTTTAGTTATTAAAATCTATAACTTTAAGTTTTCCTACCCTTAATTCAAATTTGAACAAAATTATTTCTTGATAAATGTATTGTGAAATGTGTTGAAATAAAAGGCATATCAGTCATTGTCCCTAGAGGAATTTTCAAAAGAAACTAATAAAATTGCAAATTATGTGAGAGTTATTGGCCAAAAATCAATTGCGGTGATGAAGATAGAGAAGGTAGTGACGATAAGGAGAGAGAATGGGAAAAGTTTTGGGAAAAAGAAGATTTAAGGGTATTTTGATGATTTCACATTTTTAGAAGGAGAGTATGAAGTCAAATAAGAGCAGATTTTTAAGTGGGTCATAGAAGTGTGAAATTGTTTACTAAGGTAGAAACGGAGATAAAAGTAAAAAAATACCAACTCATAGTTAAAAAAGAAAAAATAAAGGAAGAAGGATTTTGAGGCAACTTAAAGTGCCGCCTACCACTTCCAACAACTAAAGGATGGAATTGGTGTTGAAAATTGAAGCTTAAAGATAATTTTGATATTTTAAAAGTTGAATGATGAATTTGGTATAAATATAAAAATTGAGGGATCAAATTAATATTTTAACCTAACTTTTTTTGTTGCAATTTTACCATAAAAAAATTGAAGCAATTTAAAAAAAAAAAAATGTTGTGCAGTCCAAACTGCATAACCACAGCCATAATCATTAGATATAGGTTGACGCCTCCGTATTGAAGATTTTATTTTTATTTAATAATTTTTATTTTATAATTTAATATAATTTTAACAGTAAAATATGCACTTTTGTATTGAAAAAGGTTAAAAACTAATGCATTATTTTTTTATGTTAATTATTATTATTAAATTTTGATGCAATTATTATATATAATGTCGGGGTTAATGATGATTGGTCATTTGAACTGGGCCAAGTCTTTCCCTTCCAAAGTGTACCAAACGACATGAAAGTAATTATAAAATATAAGGCTCATGATGCCAGACGGCAGACTGCCAGTTGAATCCCCATTAAACATTTTATAAATATACATGCTAGGGTTAGGGTTCCTCATCAAATCCACACACAATTTTTTATTTGTGGTTTCCTTCTATTTTAGTTCCCAGATATATAACTGGTTCTGGATGAAATCCAAAAGATCAATTGGGGTTTCTGAATAGGGATGAAGAAACGTCAAGTAGTGGTGAAAACTGGAAAGAGTTCATCTTCAGTGGTGAGGAACGTTAGATATTTTGAGTGCCAAAAGAATCATGCGGCGAATATTGGTGGATACGCCGTAGATGGCTGCCGGGAATTCATGGCCGGCGGGGAGGAGGGAACCGGTAGTGCTCTAATGTGCGCCGCCTGCGGCTGCCACAGGAACTTCCACAGAAAGGAGGTGCAAAATGAAGTGGTATGTGAGTATACTCCACCTATTGATTCTAATGCTTGACAGTTTTATAACACAGAAATATGAGAATACAAGATGTAATTGCCATAGATTCTTCTTGTTCTTATGAAAAAGAAATTCAACACCGTTGAAAGAAAAAGGGGAAAGAAAAGATTATCATCTCAAATGTAATTTTTAAAGTGTGTTTTTCTGATGTGGTTGAATTTATATGTAAATTACTTCCAACTTCAAGGATTGTGTAATTGAGGAATCTGGTATCGATCCCTTTTCTTTATTTTTCTTTTTCTGAATTATATACGGTAGTTTAGGGAAATAGAGCAAGTGAAAAGAGGAAGACCAATTACCAAGGTTAATTAAGGATATGTGTATCTATGTATGCGTGTTTCATTTGTATACAAAGTTTTAGGAATTGAAATTATGGTATGGAGATACGTGTATTGGCTGCTACATAATGCTTGTAAAGTGAGTAATCAAAGTTTGAATGTCAGGTTAAATCGTATATAATAGAGAGGTCTAGTCGAAAATTAGAGTTATGGCCCAGTTCATGAGCTGGGTTAGTATTAACTCTTTTTCTTGCTATGGAAGCATGAGCTGTCATCTTGGATTGATTCATTTATTATTATGCAACGGAAGTAGAAACAGGTATGCATCAAGAGAGGGAAAGAGGATCTAGTGTTCCCTCGATCATGCGTAAGAAAATTAACTTGAAAACTGATTGATTTATCTCGCAATGACTATATCTTAATTTCTCAGCAAAAAATGTTAAGTTTCTATGAGAATTTGGACTAGATTGAAGCCTAAGTGGTTTTAAAGTTTCAGGTATTTTGACAGCTTGTTAAGGGGTAGTCTACTTTTCCACTTTGTTTTGGATTTCTTTAATTCTTTTTCATGTTATGTTTTTTCTGTGTCTGGGCTTAGTTTATCCTTCTTACAATCATTTAGCAATAGGAATATTATAAGTTTCACAGGCCCACACATATCCAATCATGTTATCCTAAAAATTTTTTAAATTTTGTATGATTATTAAAAAGGTCAGTACCCAATGAAGCTTTAAAGCATCAAATTCTATAATGTGTATTATGCAATTGCATCCTCTAATTTTTGTTAGCAGTAGCTTTCTATAAGAAAAAAACACAAAGAAATAAGAAGGCAATAATACGTACACATCATAGCTATATTTTGAATGTTTCAGTTGCTTTGAGATGGTTAATGAGGGCTGTACATATATATAGTAGAAGAAGCAAATTATAGATAAAAGGAAATTACTGTCTTGACATAATTTGCCACCTGGTGATCTGGAAAGACATGATACGGTCCATACATCTTCAAAATATGTTCATGACAACGGAGAAATGACGAGAGTCGGTGTTTTTGGCTTTCCATTTTTGAAGTTTCAGCTGATTTGATCATTGAATTGATATCATTAACTGAACTAATTTGTTCTACTTGATGATTCATTTGTTAGTTAGATTTTTTTTCCCTGGTAATGAATTGTTACTTTGATCGTCGTGTGTCCTCCTACAAATTTGAAGTCTTTTATGATACGAAGAGAATATGTTGAAGGAAACACAACGATTAAGTCCGTATTCCTTTTTCTATGATTGCTATTTTTTGGGTACAGAAAGAGTTCATATACTTATTCCAAAATATTGAAAGGCAGCGCTGTAACAGGTGGGATCATGATTAGATAGGTTGAACTTGAATGGCCAGCATTAAACACATGTTTTTGAGGACAATATAACTTTTCTTATCTTCAAACAATAAAACAAGTGCTTCATTTCAAAAAACAAAACTCTTTTCCATTATTCAATGTGATACCTAAAGCTTTGAAGAAATCAACAAGCAACAAATTTGGACAGGGTGTGCCACACAATTTTTATGGCCCAGTTTGCCTAACTAATTACTTAGTATTTGTTCCCTTGTTTTTCGGCAGCTCTTATTATCTTGATATCATCTGATGGACATTGGCGTGCTGGACCGTTTAAGTCGTTGGCTTCCTTTGTCTACTTTTATATAACTTTGTTATCATTAAACTCTATTCTTTTTTTTTCTTTATCAATAAAAAAAAAAATTATTATTCATTCGAGTACAAGTGGTATTCTAATCCTTACAAAATATCTCTATTATGTGCATTACAACATAACAACAGAAAAACCCACACAAACCAGCCCTTGGAACAAAACAAGAGCAGAGCATATAGTTTTGATATCTCTTATGTGTCCAAATTTGGAAACTGGCACCAATCATGGTATCATCACAGTATGAGTATGAGAATGATGCGGCATATATACTACTTTTTATCTAACAAAAGGACCTTTCTTGGATCATTTCAAGGAGTTTTCGCCCATCTCTCATGAATGAATAACTTCTAAAGGTAATTCCATTTTCCACTAAATCATGCTGTCCATATTACTGCAAGAAAGATGATAGCTCTAACCTCCCAAAATTTACCGTCCAAAATGCCGAATACACACTGCATGTACCAATCTTCAACGAGCAAAAATCCCATCAATTCCAGCGGTGCATCCATAAAATAAGATTGAATTTGGAAAACAAATGATTCAAAATTTCCTCAACAGATCCAAATAAAAACACACACCCAATTGTTAGTTTGATACTGATGTAAACTAGCTGGAAAAACTGAAAAATCACATTCCTCTTATTAAAAAAAAAGGGTATTTTTTTTCCCAAAGTCAACTCTAGTAAGATTCAAACTTGACCCCACCCCACATAAATTAGAATTTGAAATCTCTAAATTAAATTAAAGCTCATCTTAACCACTAGGATTTTATGAAAGGGGTGATCAAGATTCCATGTTAACATTACATGTTTGGTAGTATAAAACATTTGTTTTTGTATGATTAATTATAGTTTATTAGTTATACAAAAATGACTCCTCCCTGAACCATGTTAGCTCTATTTTTAGGGTCAGATGTGATATGAGAATCATATGCCAGTGTGATTGAGAACATCCATCGCAAAACCAATTGAAAAATAAACGGGAGCAATAATCCTTGTGGAATTAATTTTTCACTTATCATTATACGTTCCCCTAGTTGTATTATATAGTCATTTACTAAAGAAGAGACGCCAAATTAATGTATTTTGGGCTTGGATATTTCTTACACTTTTTATAGCAAAACAGTGGGGTTACCTATGATGTTGATGATAATTGTGGTGGATGGGTGGTCAATTATTCTGAAAAGCATGTAGAGTGTACTATGAATAAATTTAAGGGTGGGAACGTATTCCCCTTGCTCTTATTTATATACCCTTTTATGATTTGTATGACAATAACATATTTCTGTATAACAATAACCACAGCTTATAAATCATTATCTATCCCTTTCTATTAAGTAGTTGAACATAAATAATTAAGAATTTGAAAAAGGAATACTCTAATGGCATTAAGCCAAATTAACAAAATTTGATAACACATGACATGAGAGATGGATGGGATGTTAGGGTGCAGATGTATCTTGAGAGATCATATCATAGGAAAAGTTCTTGGAAATCCTTGTTGAGATCTAGCTGTACCTTTGATTTGAACAAAAGATGGATGGTATTGGATGCTCTATATGTGGCTCTTCAGACATAGGTTCAATTCTTCACTAAAATAGCCCTTTTTTAGCCACCCACAATATTAACTAATGGAGCAGCAAACACAAAGTTGGGATTGGAAAAAAGCTGTCCAAAAATATGGTAGCATAAGATCATGACTTAAGCTTTAGTTATAAAAAGCAACTTGTGCCTTTTAATTAATTTGCAGTTCTTATTGATATAGTAGACAGGTAGTAGTGAACTTGTTTGCAATATTTTTTTTAACATGGTCAAGAAAATGGGCTCATGTTTGCTACTAGTTTGGTATTTTATTCGTAACTAAGTGTCAATCATGTGTATTCACCCTAAACTACTTTGGTTAAGTATTAATTTTAGTTCCTAAATTTTAAACTTTACACTTTTCTTGTTCCTGCACTAATTTGGCCATGAACTAGCTAATCAAAAAAAATTATATTAAGGGATGAAATTAATTGAAAAAATGACACTTTTTATGCACATATAAGGCTCGAAGGACGAAGAGAGTGCTTAAGTTAATTTAAAAAAAAAAACGAACAAAAACGAAAACTTAAAGTTTAAGAATTAAAATAAACATTTACCCAACTATTTTCATGCATGTTTTTATAAAAGTTTTAAATCCATTGTCTTGACTTCAAATTAAGATTGATTTTATACATACTGCAATTAATTAACTAAGCTTTCAGTTACAGCATCTTGACGACTGCTGCTAGTGTGTACTGCCCAAGTCACACACTCTAAATCTTAGCATTGGGATTCTCTTTTGGTCAATGGTTCAGAACATTTTGATTGAAGTAATCTATTAGAACTTTGATTGAATTGATGGAATTGATGTTTAGATAAATGTAACATTTCCTTCTAGTTGTATATATTAACAAAGAAATTCACAAAGAAAATAATAACAAAAAGAAAAAGAAAAAAAAAATTGTCAACCCAAGGATGGGAGACAGGTTAAATATTATTCTTTCACTATGGACCAGAAAGGCCTGCCTCCATGGTCCTATATTTCTAGGCCCAGAGTTATTTCTGCCAAAGCCAAGCCCAACTCTACCCATAGAAGACTTCCTTTTCTTCTTCTCTCGAATCTCCCTCGCTCCCACCCGAGTAATCACCGTCACCAGTGGTAAAGTCAGGAAAAAATTTTCAATGAGGCGAAATGAAATTTTGATCAATAAACGGTGCATCCAGAAGTGTGTTCAGTTGAAAATTTTCACCATTAAAAAACATATTAAAAAGATACATAAGTTAAATTAAAAAAAAAACTCTATTTATAATTAATTTAATTTAAATTTTTTTTTAAACAATTTGACATGAAACGAGATCGAATCCGTCCTAGAGGAGAGGATGCACCAATTCAATATGATTAATATCACTAGATCCGAAGGGTCAAGTGCAATTAATTTAATTTAGATTAGATGTAAATTTTATAGTAAAACTCATATATGTCTAATTTTTATATTATATAAGAATCTAAACTTTGTTTTTGGGAAGCTAGAGATCCCATAATAGTTTGGACTCGTACATGAGGAAAGCCTATTAAGTCTTTAACTTGAGATACACATAACAGAATTTAAATTTAATATCAAGCTTGTATGTAAAAAGAGTGTGTTAAATGTGACAATCTCACATTAAAAAGAATATATTAAAGATATATAAATTATATATAAAAAAGATTATTTTATTTATAATCAATTAATTTTAAATTAAATATAAGTCTTGTATTAAAACGTATGCTTAATTTTCACGAAAGGTCAATGCAATAGAAAATTCAAAAGAAAAATGATTTTTTAAAGTCTTTTTTTAGTTTTAATAATAAATTAAGCAGTTAACTGAACTTGAAAAATGAAAATATATAGTAGAAATAGAAGGATAGTAATGAACAAAATAGTGAAAGGAAAAACCTATTAATGGACAAAAACTTTGAACATGATGAATAATATTTCATTGGATTATATAATCTTTATTTTCCTTGTTTTCCACAAGGATCATCACCAAAAACTGTATTTAATAAAAATAAAAAGAATTGAAGAAAATCAAATGTTATAATAATTAAAATATCAAAAAAATAATTTAAAGACCTAAATATTCTTAATGAATTAACACATAAAAAAGTTTCATTAAAGATATTTAAACTTTCACTGACAATTTTTTCATTTTAAATATAAGAACACTGTCATTTTTAGTTTTTTAAAACAGAATAAAAACTACAATGATATGAAATAAAAAATTTCAAAATGCAAATGATAAAAATAAAATTTATTGGAATATATTAATTTTTTCTCGAAGGGGGCTACCCCAGGCCTCGTTTGGCTCTGCAGTGACCATCACACAACGTAACCACAACACACATGTTCAAAACTACATAAAACTTACATTTTTCTAGTTGGCTTGGTTTTGAACAAATCATTGACAGATCCAAGGGATCTAAATTTAGAATTTTTTTTTAATATACAAATGCAGTACAAGAATATAGCTTATAAGAATACACAATTCAAATTTGACCACTTAGTACACAAAACCCAAAAAACTTAAAAAATTCCCATTTACACCGAAGTCGAATCCACAACTACTTGATTACGAAACCTTATCCTTTAAATTTGGAATCTTATATCAGAGTATATAATTTATGTAATTTTCTATATATACATTCACTGTTGTGTCAATGAACAATTAACAATTTACTCATTTCAAAAATTTTAAAACAGCAAGTAACAAGTTTTATAGGTGGTTGTTAGATATATCTAATATTTTAATAATAATTAAAATTCAAAACATTATATCCTTAATCATAAATTGTACTTGTTAAAAAAAAAAAGAAAAAGAAAAACAGCCCATTTCATGCAGCTACATTAAGAAGCTAAACACCGTACAAACAAAGTACTTAACCAAACAAGACAAGAATTAAAAACTGGACAATTAATGCTTAAACAAATAGAAAAATATTATAAATAATATGATAGAGTTTTGCAGAGACATGAATGACAATGTAACTTACAGTACTTCCCCATTAACAAGTTAGTGATTGGAAGAAACAAAAGCCATGGCTTACAGCGCAGGGCACGCACATGCTGTCTTTGGTCATGTGCCTTGATTGCACATGGATATAACAGACTCCACATTTCCCCATTCAATTATTAGCTCCCATTATTTCTGGGGTCCCAAATCTGCTCTTTCTCCTACTCTATGTCTTTCTGTGCTCTCTTGCTCTCAAACCATGACATGTCATGAATTTTGATCTCCTGATTTCATCCAACGGCTCAGCTCACTTCCGGGGTCCGCGATGAAAGGGGATTGAGAACTCAGGGTAGGAGAAAATAATCTCTTCCTTGGGAGTTTGATCCAATCTGCCGACTTGCTGTTGTTGAAGGCCAACATTTAACTAACTAGCCATGTTACTTCATGTTATTAATGTTTTGGCCTTTTTTTAGTGGGTTTTACGGTGTCAATCAGATTCGGTATCCTGAATTTTCTGCTTCTCTTCAAAGTTTCTATTTATACCCAACTCTTCTTGGCATTCTGAATCAAGCAAGAAGTTGAAGTACACAGACAAGCAGCTTCTTCAAGCAAGCCTCTCTCTGCTTTTCTCTTCTCTTCCATACACTCCTGAGAGGCTTGCTTTTTGCCCTAATTCGTCATGTCTAAGCTTGCCTGCCTTCTGCTTCTTGCTCTCCTTAGCATTTCCATGGTTGCAACCACAGTAAGTTTCCAATGACCATTCCTTGTTGTGCAACTCATAATAATTTAAACGTGCACGTGACGCACATAGACACATACATGTATATGTATACATAGATAGTAACATTATCATTAAGTTTAATTGGGCCCACCCCTTAAGTTGATAATCTTCTTAATTTATGTCATTTTTTCCTTTTCGTGTAGGTTATGGCAAAGGAAAGCCAATATCATCTGGACAGTGTAAGGTTTTGCTTTGTTGTTCTTCTTTTGTTTATTATGTTATGGTATTTTCACCATTGACATTGTAATACAGACTCCACAAAAAGAAATACAATCTAATTATTAAAATTATTAAAATATTATTAATAAACAAATAAAAAGAGAAATTTCATTTAAAGTGTTTTGATAATTTTAGCACTTATACTACACTTTTATTATACCATTGGACTCGGAAAAAAACTTTGTTGACTTTTAAATTTATTATACTATTTCTTTTCTTCTTTTTTTCAGGGGAACTATGGACCTGGAAGCCTAAAGAGCTACCGTAAGTGATCAGTTATATTAAAGAAATACATTTTCCATTACTCATTTTCTTCGAACCAAGATTAATTTTTACAACTTAAACTTTTAATTTTATTCTAACTAGACGTTTTCTTTTGGGAATTAAACAAAATCAGAATGCCCGTCACAATGCACAAGGAGATGCAGTAGGACACAGTACCGCAAACCATGCATGTTTTTCTGTCAAAAATGCTGTGCCAAATGCCTCTGTGTTCCTCCTGGCTACTATGGCAATAAATCTGTGTGCCCTTGCTACAACAATTGGAAGACCAAGCGTGGAGGACCCAAATGCCCTTGAATCGATTTCATCCACTGCTCTTTTTTGTTCCCCTTTCTTGATCAAATAATACCGTTTAGTGTCCCGAGTTTGTTTAATATTTATTAATTATGTCTGAGGTCATTGATCTCGATGACCCAATTTTCTCTCCCAGCAATGGGAGGCTTACCTCCATTGGATGATTCATTTTTGGTAGTGTCCAAAAAGCAGTGCAGCCTGATCCAATTTATGCGGGTTTTTTTTTTAAAATATTATATCAATATATTTTGCATAGTCTTTGTATTTTAATATAAATTAATGATTAAATCTTAAATCTGTAATTAAAAATATAAATAACTCTACCACCAAACTATTTAATTGATGTTTCTATTTTGCATTGTCTTGCATAAAGGTGCAATGCATTCTCTTTTCCCCATTTCTTTCTTTTGTATCTGTCTTTGGCATTTATGTTTTGAGGATTCAATCACACGAATACTTGTTGATTACTTGTTCATTAGGATAAGAGGAAAGGAAAGAGTAAAGCAAAATCAATCATATTGAAATAAATGAAGGAGCAATTAAGTGTAAAGTAATAGGGTATAGGCTAAATTTGAAGAACTACTAAAAAAAAGTATATTTAATTGGAAAAATCCTATGTTAAGCCTGCAAACTTACCCAAGATTCTCGATTAAGCCCCTAAACTTTTATTAAAGCAAATAAGCTCATGAACTTAGTGATTTAAACAATTTAACCCATCTTCTTTATAATGGATTTAATGCCTATTTGCGCATCACTTGTACGAGCAAAATATTAATGTGTTATTGCCTACATAACGAGTATTAACCTTGTTCATGCAAGTAAGATATAAATGAGCACTAAATCTACCAAAAGAAAGAGAATAAATTGCTAAAATTATCAAGTTTAGAGATTTATTTACTTCAATAAAAGTTTAAGAACTTAACTAAGAATTTAAGATAAGTTTAAGAGTTTAACATAGGATTTTGCCTAGTTAATTTAGGCCCAAGAGTATTCCCAAGCAATATTTTAAGGAAATTTTACCCATAGATCCGCATTTCATGACAGATTTTGTCCCCAACCTGCTTGCTAATTGCATAAGTCGAAATCATATATTATGAATGAGAGAAATGCAAGTTGCAAATTTTAGGACTTGACTGGGAGTAAAATGGTAGGTTAATTGCTCTTCTCAGGAAATTAATTTGTTAGGCCCATTTGAGACCCAACTTTTATTGTCCTTATCAAAGTGGAGAGAATGTGTAAAAAGAATGGGCCGAGCTCGTTCAGTCCATATACGGTTTTTTTTTTTCAGGCCACTACCAAGTAAATCTAGCATATGAAATGGGTCGCGTCAAATCAATGCAAGTTATCAGTGAGATGAATTCATACATTTTATCAATGAGACACTTTGGATAGGCAAATTCGACCAAGTTGGTATGTTGGGTCAATTTTTACCGATAATTTACGTGAATTGTTGATTATGGCCGAACTCATTTAACTTGTGACAATTAGATGAGTTGATTGGTACGTACAATTCACAAATTAGAGAGTCTTATGTATTGTTTAAACACACAAAATTAGAATTAGATATGGTAATTTACTTTGAAATTTGTAGAGTTTGGCAAGAATGAAGATTTAAAGAATATTCTTTTTTGTAAGACCAAAATAGGGATAATTTTTTCTTGTGAAATTTCACAAGAAATTTTTTCTATCCCATGAGTCTATGTGGAAATCTATATATAATTAAAAAAAATAAATTTATATTTTTATAATATTAGAATATATTTATAAGAAAATAAAACCCATAATTTGTTATGAATTTCTACTCTCTTTTTGTTGTTTCTTGTGGATTTGTTGGACTGTATGCATTTTCTAACCTGTATGCATTTGCTTGTTTCAAATTTTTACTTTTTTTTTATGTAGTACTTTTTTTTGTGGTATTGGTGTAATTTTTTACATACTTTTTTATTTTTGCAAGATTTTATCTTTATACATGATGAATTATTCTATATAATGTCATAAATTTTGTTTATTGGAAAAAAAATAAATTTAAATTCTACGATTTTAATATTTAGCGAAGACTTCGTATACCTACAAAGATGGGTAGCAGGGCATTTAATTACTTTCTTTCAAAAATCTTTGTAAGAATCCCATACCTGCATTGGCAAAAATAGGGATGAGGAGGGGTTTCTCACCCCGCAAGGACCCGTTATCATCCATATATAGAACAAATTGGTGAGTTGGGCCAACCTTCATCAATAATTTACGCGGATTGTTGACTCATAACCCAACTTATTTGACCTGTGACAATCAAATGAAATAGATTGAAACAAGTAACAAGTAAAAAATCTTACCTTATTTTGTTTTAAATACATGATTCAAAATAAATTTGTGAGTTGAGCTAACTTTTATCAATGATTTAAATAAATTGTTGATTCATAATCCAACTCATTTGACAAGTAATGGTTAGATGAGTTGGATTGAAATAATTATGGATTGAAGGTCTTACCCACGTGGTCTTTTGAACATAGGAATTAGCTAAAACGAATTAACAAGTTGGGTCAATTTTTGCCAGGAGCTCATCATGAGCAATCCCAAGGCCATTTTTTTATTAATAACGTAAGTCTGGACTAATCCAAAGGCCCCTCTATTGTTGCTGGCTACGTAATAGCTTTGAAGAAAACTAGTGATATCATATTCTCATGACTTTTTGATCTATTGATGAATAGGCTAGGAAAAACAAATATATAATGACCACTTGTGTTGTGAATAAATTTAATCATTCAATTGTTTGAATGAAATGTATGGCCAAAAACATTGTTCGAATCAAATGGCAGTATGGCATGAATCCAATCACCAAACCTTTCCTTCAGGATTAGTTGAACCAACTTACGTAACAAAACCTGATATTAACATTTTTGTTATTTTTGTTTTTATTTTCGAAGTTTTAAATTATGCCTTCATGGGGGTGACATTTCACCATGTTATAGATAACAGGTGTGAAACTCTCAAACTCTCTCAAACACGTCTGAAACTTTGAATCCAAATTATGTTTTTGTTTGAAATTTAATTTGGATAAAAGGTGTTGCCAACCAATTTTGTCCAAAAAACACTACTTCTTGCCCGGAAAACACTACTTCAAAAAGCCATGTACGATGACTTTGACATTTGTATTTGATTTTTAAAATTCAAAAATAAATTTCAAAAACAACAAAATTGTTAGCCAAAATTTAGAACTCAAGATTCAGTCATGATTATTGTCATTATCAATATCGTTAAAACTACCAAAATTTTAGTTTTTTTAAACCACTGTCTAAAAATACATTAATTTATTAACTAATAAATATAAATTATTCTATTAGTTATTAGTTAATAATTATAATTATTAACTATTTTTATCAATTAAATTAAACAAAATCAATATTTTTAAAGATAATATTTTATAGTTTTGATAATCATAACATTATTATTGGTGGTTATAACCATGCCTCAAGATACTGGAACACTTTAAATACAGCTAAATTCAATAAATAGTCTATTAACTATATAGTTTATTTCA